GTGTGCTTGTAAGTTTTCTTGGTAAAGTCGTTGGAGTTATTTCAGCTGTTGCTGTTGTTGCTGCCAATGTACTCGCAATTTCTGTACTTGACAATGCTGTCGATCTTATCGGTTTTGTTGTTAGTGGACTTGTTAGGTTTCTCTGTGAAGTTGTTGGGGTTAGTTCAGTTGTTCCTGTGGCTGTTGCTGGTGCCAATGTGGTCGTTAGTACTGTACTTGACAAAACTGTTGACGTTATGGGTCTTGTTTGTGTGGTTGTAAATATTCTGGGTGACGTTGTTGGTGTTAGTTCGCTTGTTTTTGTGGCCGTTGTTGGTGCCAACGTGGTCGTTAGTACTGTACTTGACAAAACTGTGGACGTTATTGGTTTTGTTGTCTGTGTGCTTGTACGTTTTCTCTGTGAAGTTGTTGGGGTTAGTTCAGCTGTTTTGGTTGCTGTTGTTGGTGCCAATGTAGATGTTTGGGCTATACTTGACAATACTGTTGACTCTATCGGTTTTGTCGTCATTGTACTTGTATGTTTTCTCTGTGAAGTTGTTGCGGTTATTTCTGCTGTTCCTGTTGTTTGGGCTGTACTTGACATAACTGTAGATGTTTTTGGTTTTGATGTTTGTGTGCTTGTAAATTTTCCCTGTAAAGTTGTTGGGGTTATTCCAGTTGTTCTTGTGGTTGTTGTTGGGACCAATGTAGTAGTCTGCACTGTACTTGAGAAAACTGTGGACGTTTTTGGTACCGATGTAGTCTTTAGTACTGTACTCGACAATTCTGTTGACGCTTTAAATTTTGTTGTCTGTGTGCTTGTAGGTTTTGATGGGGTTAGTTCAGTTGTTAGTTCAGTTGTTTTTGTGGCCGTTGTTGGTGCCAATGTGGTCGTTAGTACTGTACTTGACAAAACTGTGGACGTTATTGGTTTTGTTGTCTGTGTGCTTGTAAATTTTCTTTGTGAAGTTGTTGGAAGGGTCAGTTCAGGTGTTGTTGTTGCTTCTGTGCTTGTTGCTGATGATAAAGAAAATTATGTGTGAAACTAAATATACGTATGTTCTTAGTATTTTAAGAGATAGCGGATAGACAATGACAAAGAAAATGTGAAATTATGTGTCTTACCCAAGATTTCATTACTAAAAGTAAGCGTTTCGTGTCCTCTTGATTTACATTTAGCATTTTGCACTTGAGTCCTTCTTGAAATGTCACGGGAATGGGGGGTGGGACAGCGCAATTAGTTATATCTAATTTGTCCCCAATATGGCTGCTTTGTATTGTTTTTTCTGTACATTTCTGTGTTATCTTTATGTAGCATTATATCTTTGGTAATTTTTTTATGTTCGATGTCTTGTATTTTCTTTTATGTGCTTTAATAAATTTTAGAAAATGATAAAGAGAGACATGCCTTATACATAGGAACTATAGAATGTTTAAATTTTCCGGTCCCTGGTGCAAAAAGAGTTCTAAAGCCAGGAGCTTGCGAACTTGTTCCTAATGATTTGACAGTTTCTATCTTATTTATCTCATTCTTGAGAATTTAGATATCGTTCGGCTTTATAACTAACTGACCAACCAGCTAACCATCAAACACACCAACCAAACAACTAAACAATCAATAAGTATGGAAGTGTTATCTTGTTTGTTAATCCACTATACAAATTAAAGCAACTTTACCTTGGAATTGCGTTGTTGTCGCTGGTGGTATTGCCGATGTAGATTCGGTAGTCATTCTTGCAGATGTTGTCTCTTTCCCCCTTTCTGTGCTTGACAGGGCAGTTGTTTGAATCGGCTTTGTTGTCCGCAACCTTGTAGAGCTAGACTCCTCCTTTGTTGTTGTTTCTGCTTTGGGTATTGATGTAGTTGTTTTTGCTGTGCTCAACAGAATAGTTGATGTTATTAGTTTTGTTCCCTGTGTGCTTGTTGGTTTTCTCTCTGACGTTGTAAGTGTTACTTTAGTTGCTTTAGTTGTTGGTGGTGCCAATGTTGTTGTAAGTGTTGTACCTGTAAAAACTGTTATAGGTGTTGTTATGTCTAGGCTTGTAACCGTGTTCTGTGACATTTCTGTCGGGGTCACTTTAACAGTTTTTCTAGCAGTCGTTGGTGCAAATATTGTTTTGTCTATAGTGCTTGACAATGTTGTTGTCTTTTTTGGGGGTGCTGTCGTTGTGTTTGTGTTTGTAGTCGTTAGTAATGTACTTGAAACGTCTGTGGATTTCATCGTTTTTGTCTGTGTGTTCGTAGGTTTTGATGGGGTTAGTTTAGTTGCCATGTCAGTTGTTTTCGTTGCTGTTGTTGTCGCCATTGTAGGCATTAGTACTGTACTTGACTCGGCTGTCGATCTAATAGGTTTTGTTGTCTGTGTGCTTGTGATTTTCATCTGTGTCGTTGTCGGGATTAGTTCAGTTGTTTTTGTTGCAGTCGTTGGTGTCAATGTAGTTGTTCGTACTGTACTTGTCAAGTCTGTCGACTTTATCGGTTTTGTTGTCTGTGTGCTTGTATTTGTTCCCTGCGATGTTGTTGGTGTTAGTTCGGCTGTTTTTGTGACCGGTGTTGGTGTCAATGTAGTCGTTAGAACTGTACTTGACAAGTCTGTCGATTCTGTCGTTTGTGTACTTGTAGTCGTTGGTAGTGTCGGTTCAGTTGTTGTTGGTGCTGATGCAGTTACTGCTAACGATAAAAAGCATGTGTAAAACAATGTGTATTAGCTTATTTCTCTAAAGCCTAGCAACTAGACAGTGAAATAGATGCGTGTCATTTGCATGAGAAGGCTATAACTACAGTACTGTAGCGATTTTGTCCGTCTTTGCTGCTTAGATACTAACTTTTAGTGACAATAAATAAAGACGTGTGGGATATATAGCTCGAGAGAGACAGTGGAAGAGAACTATGTTCAGATGTATCATTACCTGACGTATTGTTGTTTTCGTTGTTCCTAGTGAATTTGTTATTGTTGATTCAAATTCCGTTGTCGTTATTGGTATCAATGTGGTTCTTTCTATCGTACTTGATGAGACTGTCGTCTGACTTGATGTCTGTGTGTTTGTAGATGTTTTCTGTGATCCTGTTGGTGTCATTTTTGGTGATGATGTTGCTGATGTAGTTTTTTCTACTGTACTTGTCACGGTTGATGATTTTATTGATGTAGTTGGCTGCGTGATTGTAGTTGTTTTTGGTGCGCTTATTATTGTTGTGTTTGCTGTTGTTCCTGATGTAGTTCTTTCTGCTGTACTTGACAAGATGGTTGATTTTAATTGTGTAGTTGCCTGTGTACTGGATGGTGTCTTCTGTGTTATCGTGGTCGTCATCGGATTTCTCGTACTTTCCACTGTACTTGACAATATGGTTGATTGTATTGATTTTGTTGTTTGTATATCTGTAGATATCTTCTGTGATGTTGTCGGTGTTAGTTCAACTGTCTTTGTGGCTGATGTTGGTGCCAATGTAGATTTTTCTACAGGTAATGAGAGTGTAGCTCTGTATTAATGGATTCACTTATATATGTAATTATCTGTAATGTAATTACCAACTTTAGATATCTTAGATATGAATAGAACTTTGGATTTGTCCAACATTATATCTTAATCTGAAGTTATCTGTTAGTCGATATATATGCCCCAATATTATGAGTTATCCTAACTTAATCACAGATTCCTTACTGGCATTAAATTTGTATCCGATTTGTATCCTTTCGTATCCGATTGTGTAAGAATCCAACAACCTGATAAAGTTGTTGATTAAATGATTTTTACACTAATTTTACCTGTGGTGGTGCTTTCTTCTGTTTGAGCTGATGTTGCAGCTGTGGACAATTTACCGGTTGGTCTTGTAGTGACTAGTTCTGCAGATGTAGTTGTTTCTACTGTAGTATATGAACGTGTCTCTGTTGGCATCAATATATCGGTCGTGGCTAATTCGGCTGTTGTAGCAGATGAAGTAGATATGGATGTGGCTGATGCAGCTGTTGTGACTGTCTGAGTGGACCTACCAGGCGCCACAGAACTGGCTTTTTGGGTTGTTGTTGGGGGCTTGGTGTATTCGTCTGGTTTTGTTGGAGTCGTTAAAACAGTCGTTGACTTTGTTGTTCGTTTAGTTGTAGTAGTTGACGTCGAAGATTCGGTTTCAGTTTCTGCTGTTGTTGTAGCTTCTGTCGTTTCCATGACGTCAGTAGTTGGTATAGGACCTTCTGTTGGTTCAACTGTAGTAGGCGCAGCATATGTCACCTAATTGAAAAAACGGCACTTGGTCATGAAAAACACTTCAAGCATAAAATCTTCATTACAAGAGATTTACCATTTTCAGTGCAACTAACACTCATGTATTTACTTTGTTACCCATTATCGGTTACTAATAATATTTGATTGATATTACGATCTAATATATCATAATCTAAGATTATTGCCTTGAGTGTGAGTCAAAGCTTTAAACAACTTCAATGCATGTACCTCTTCTTCTGTAGTTGTTGCCAGAGTTGAACGAGTTGTAGTTGAAGACGTAGTTGTGGTTGGTTCAGCAGTTGTAATCCATGTTGTCTCTTCTGTTGTTCGCTCTGTTGTAGGTTCTGGGGATGTTTCCTCTGTTGTCAACAATGTTGTTCGCTGTGGGGAAACCAAAAGGAAGTTATTTGTCATTAGTTTTGTTTATGGACTGACTTGCAGGGTATGGAAGGTAAGCACTGGCAAAGTTGGGAACTTGCGGTCTTTCATACTCAGTTGTCAACTATAATGAGGAGCATAGTTGTATAGAAAGGTGACATTTGTGCAGTTAAGTGCAAGCTACGTGATACCTCAGTTGTGTGTAGAGTTGTTTCTTTGCAGTTGATACTTCTGTCGTTGGAAGTGTTGTCGTTTAGTTGTTGTTGGGGGATGTGGTGCGTATCGTGAACGTTCAGATGTTGCTATTGTTGTGGGTGATGTAGTTGCTTTGAAGGTGGTGAGTTTTGTTGTAGGTTCCGAAGTTGTTTTCTGTGTTGTATGTAGTGTTGTTGCCATTGTTGTCTTAGCTGTTGTTGCCGGTGAGGATGTTGAAATAGATGTTTTCTATGTGTATGAAAGGATAGTGTTACATTCAATAGTTTCAGTCGTAGTCAGGTAACGTTGAAGCTGTGGGCATGATACTAGTAGTTTCATCACTTCTGCATGTGGCAATCATATATTGATTGTATAAATGCATTGTGTTTTATTGTAGAAGTATTTTCGTATAAAATGTGTTGTATTGTCATTGGAATGATGATTGGTACCTCAGTTCTTTCTGGTCTTTTCTGTGTGGTAAGCACAGTGGTTGTCTTTGCAGTTGATAAGTCTAATGTTGGACGTAATGTCGTTTCAGTTGTTGTTGGGGATGTGGTTTGTACCGTAGAACGTTCCGATGTTTGTATTGTTGTGGGTGATGTAGTTGTTTTGAAGGTAGTGAGTTTTGTTGTAGGTTCTAAAGATGTTTTCTGTGTTGTATGTAGTATTGTTGCCATTGTTGTCTTAGCTGTTGTTGCCGGTGAGGACGTTGAAATAGTTGTTTTCTATGTGTATGAAGCATGTTTGATATATTAAACTGTTTAATTTGTAGACAGGTAACATTGAAACTGTGGAGATAATAGTGTAAATATCTATAGATTTGGGAATCGTAAATGAAGTATATAAGTGCATTGTTGTAAGTTCGGAAACATTCCTGTACCTTTGCTGTTTCTATTGTAGTGTCTGTGCTTGTGTGTGTAGAAGTTGTTTTAAACAGTTGAAACGCCCGTGGTTGTTGCTGTAGTTGCTTTAATTGTAGTGGGAGATGTTGTTTGAATTGTGGAATGTTTGGATGTTTGTATTGTTGTGGGGATAGTTGTTGTTTTCCCTAGAGTGCGCTCTGTTGTAGTCTCTAAAGATGTTTTCTGTGTTGTGAGTGGTGTTGTTGTATTGTTGTTACCGTTGTTGGTTGTATGGGGTCGAACCGTCTGCTACATCAAAACAAAGGTGTTAAAATGATTAAATGTAGTGTTCTCTCTATGTATGTGGCTGATGTAGCGTGATACCAAAAATCAAATTAAGATAATAAAATGGCCAATGTTACCTGAGCCAGTGAGAGGTATAAGACATAAAGCATTTGTGTCATGGTATTGGTAAGGAGCATATTTATATAACAAAGTGAGTGGTGTATTGTGTTTGAAATGGCGAGTGATACCTTAGTTGTTTGTGGAGTTGTTTTCTGTGTGGTAAGTACAGTGGTTGTCTTTGTAGTTGATGCTTCTGTTGTTGGACGTAGTGTCGTTTTAGTTGTTGTTGGAGATGTGGTTCTTATCGTAGAACGTTCCGATGTTTGTATTGTTGTGGGTGATGTAGTTGTTTTAAAGGTGGTGAGTTTTGCTGTAGGTTCTGAAGTTGTTTTCTGTGTTGTATATAGTGTTGTTGCCATTGTTGTCTTTGCTGTTGTTGACGGTGAGGACGTTGAAATAATAGTTTTCTATGTGTATGAAACAAGTTTGATATATTAACTGTTTAATTTGTAGACAGGTAACATTTATGCTGTGGAGATAATAGTGTTTATAACTCTAGATGTGGGAATCGTAAATGAAGTATATAAGTGCATTGTTGTAAGTCGGAAACATTCCTATACCTTTGCTGTTTCTATTGTAGTGTCTGTACTTGTGTGTGCAGAAGTTGTTATAACAGTCGAAACGCCCGTGGTTGTCCTTGCAGTTGTTTTAAAATTAGTTGTCGTGGGAGATGTTGTGTGAATTGTGGAATGTTTGGATGTTTGTATTGTTGTAGGGATGGTTGTTGTTTTCCCTAGAGTGCGCTCTGTTGTAGTCTCTAAAGTTGTTTTCTGTGTTGTGAGTGGTGTTGTTTGTATTGTTGTTACCGTTGTTGGTTGTATTGAAGACGAAACCGTTTGCTACATCAAAACAAAGGTTTTACATCGATTAAATTTAGTGTCCACTCAATGTACGTGGCGTATGTAGCATGATACCAAATATCCACTAAAGATGGTAAAATAACCAATGTTTCCTGAGCCAGTGATAGGTATAAGACATAAAGCATTTGAGTCATGGTATCGGTATGGAGCATATTTATATAAAAAGGTGAGTGTTGTCATTAAGATAATGAGTGATACCTCAGTTGTTTGTGGTGTTGTTTTCTGTGTAGTAAGTAAAGTGGTTGTCTTTGTATTTGATGTTTCTGTTGTTGGACGTAGTGTCGTTTTAGTTGTTGTTGGAGATGTAGTTCTTATCGTAGAACGTTCCGATGTTTGTATTGTTGTGGGTGATGTAGTTGTTTTGAAGGTAGTGAGTTTTGTTGTAGGTTCTGAAGTTGTTTTCTGCGTAGTAAGTAGCGTTGTAACCATTGTTGTCTTTGCCGTTGTTGCCGGTGAGGACGTTGAAATAGTAGTTTTCTATGTGTATGAAACATGTTTGGTATATTAAACTGTTTAATTTGTAGACAGGTAACATTGAAGCTGTGGAGATAATAGTGTACATAACTATAGATTAGGGAATCGTAAATGAAGTATATAAGTGCATTGTTGTTAGTCCGGAAACTTTCCTATACCTTTTCTGTTTCTATTGTAGTGTTTGTACTTGTGTGTGCAGAAGTTGTTTTCACAGTCGAAACGTCCGTGGTTGTCCTCGCAGTGGTTTTAAAATTAGTTGTCGTCGGAGATGTTCTTTCAATTGTGGAATGTTTGGATGTTTGTATTGTTGTGGGGATGGTTGTTGTTTTCCCTAGAGTGCGCTCTGTTGTAGTCTCTAAAGATGTTTTCTGTGTAGTGAATGGTGTTGTTTGTGTTGTTGTTACCGTTGTGGGTTGTATGTTAGTCGAAACAGTCTGCTATATCAAAACAAAGGTGTTACATCGATTGAATTTAGTGTTCACTCAATGTATGTGGCGTATGTAGTGTGATACCAAAAAATCAAGTCAAGATGGTAAAATGGCCAATGTTACCTGAGCCAGTGATAGGTATAAGGCATAAAGCATTTGAGTTATGGTATCGGTAAGAAGCATATTTATATGAAATAGTTTGTGTTGTATTGTCATTGAAATAATGAGTAATACCTCTGTTGTTTGTGGTGTTGTTTTCTGTGTGGTAAGTACAGTGGTTGTCTTTGCAGTTGATGCTTCTGTGGTTGGACGTAGTGTCGTTTTAGTTGTTGTTGGAGATGTGGTTTGTACTGTAGAACGTTCCGATGTTTGTATTGTTGTGGGTGATGTAGTTGTTTTGATGGTAGTGAGTTTTGTTGTAGGTTCTGAAGTTGTTTTCTGCGTAGTAAGTAGTGTTGTAACCATTGTTGTCTTTGCTGTTGTTGCCGGTGAGGACGTTGAAATAGTGGTTTTCTATGCGTGTGAAACATGTTTGATATATTAAACTGTTTAATTTGTAGACAGGTAACATTGAAGCTGTGGAGATAATAGTGTAAATAACTATAAATGTGGGAATCGTAAATGAAGTATGTAAGTGCATTGTTGAAAGTCCGGAAACTTTCCTATACCTTTGCTGTTTCTATTGTAGTGTTTGTACTTGTGTGTGCAGAAGTTGCTTTCACAGTCGAAACGTCCGTGGTTGTCCTTGCAGTTGTTTTAAAATTAGTTGTCGTGGGAGATGTTCTTTCAATTGTGGAATGTTTGGATGTTTGTATTGTTGTGGGGATGGTTGTTGTTTTCCCTAGAGTGCGCTCTGTTGTAGTCTCTAGAGATGTTTTCTGTGTTGTGAGTGGTGGTGTTTGTATTGTTGTTACCGTTGTTGGTTGTATGGCAGTCGAAACCATCTGCTACATCAAAACAAAGGTGTTACATCGATTGAATTTAGTGTTCACTTAATGTATGTGGCGTATGTAGTGTAATACCAGAAATTAAATTTAGATTGTAAAATGGCCAATGTTACCTGAGTCAGTGATATATATACATAAGACATATAAGACATAAAGCATTTGAGTTACGGTATAAGTAAGGAGCATATTTATGTAAAATGGTGAGTGGTGTATTGTCATTGAAATGATGAGTGATACCTCAGTTGTTTGTGGTGTTGTTTTCTGTGTGGTAAGTACAGTGGTTGTCTTTGTAGTTGATGCTTCTGTTGTTGGACGTAGTGTCGTTTTAGTTGTTGTTGGAGATGTGGTTTGTACCGTAGAACGTTCCGATGTTTGTATTGTTGTGGGTGATGTAGTTGTTTTGAAGGTAGTGAGTTTTGTTGTAGGTTCTGAAGTTGTTTTCTGCGTAGTAAGTAGCGTTGTAACCATTGTTGTCTTTGCTGTTGTTGCCGGTGAGGACGTTGAAATAGTTGTTTTCTATGTGTATGAAACATGTTTGATATATTAAACTGTTGATAACATTGAGGCTGTGGAGATAATAGTGTACATAACTATAGATTAGGGAATCGTAAATGAAGTATATAAGTGCATTGTTGTAAGGCCGGAAACTTTTCTATACCTTTGTTGTTTCTATTGTAGTGTTTGTACTGGTGTGTGCAGAAGTTGTTATTACAGTCGAAACGTCCGTGGTTGTCCTTGCAGTTGTCTTAAAATTAGTTGTCGTCGGAGAGGTTCTTTCAATTGTGGAATGTTTGGATGCTTGTATTGTTGTGGGAATAATGGTTGTTTTTCCGACAGTACGCTCTGTTGTAGTCTCTGAAGATGTTTTCTGTGTTGTGTGTGGTGTTGTTTGTATTGTTGTTACCGTTGTTGGTTGTATGGAAGTCGACACCGTCTGCTACATCAAAACAAAGGTGTTACATTGACTGAATTTAGTGTTCACTCAATGAATGTGGCGTATGTAGTTTGATACCAAAAATCAAATTAGGATTGTAATATGGCCATGTTACCTGAGCCAGTGACATTTAAAAGACATAAAGCATTTGAGTCATTGTATCGGTAAGGAGCATATCTATATAACATAGTGAGTGTTGTATTGTCTTCGAACTGATGAGTGATACCTTAGTTGTTTGTGGTGTTGTTTTCTGTGTGGTAAGTACAGTGGTTGTCTTTGTAGTTGATGCTTCTGTGGTTAGACGTAGTGTCGTTTTAGTTGTTGTTGGAGATGTGGTTTGTACCGTAGAACGTTCCGATGTTTGTATTGTTGTGGGTGACGTAGTTGTTTTGAAGGTAGTGAGTTTTGCTGTAGGTTCTAAAGTTGTTTTCTGCGTAGTAGGTAGTGTTGTAACCATTGTTGTCTTTGCTGTTGTTGCCGGTGAGGACGTTGAAATAGTGGTTTTCTATGCGTGTGAAACATGTTTGATATATTAAACTGTTTAATTTGTAGACAGGTAACATTTGAAGCTGTGGAGATAATAGTGTAAATAACTATAAATGTGGGAATCGTAAATGAAGTATGTAAGTGCATTGTTGTAAGTCCGGAAACTTTCCTATACCTTTGCTGTTTCTATTGTAGTGTTTGTACTTGTGTGTGCAGAAGTTGTTTTCACAGTCAAAACGTCCGTGGTTGTCCTTGCAGTTGTTTTAAAATTAGTTGTCGTGGGAGATGTTCTTTCAATTGTGGAATGTTTGGATGTTTGTATTGTTGTGGGGATGGTTGTTGTTTTCCCTAGAGTGCGCTCTGTTGTAGTCTTTAAAGATGTTTTCTGTGTTGTGAGTGGTGTTGTTTGTATTGTTGTTACCGTTGTTGGTTGTATGGAAGTCGAAACCGTCTGCTACATCAAAACAAAGGTGTTACATTGACTGAATTTAGTGTTTACTCAATGTATGTGGCGTATGTAGCGTGATGCCAGAAATCAAATTAAGATTGTAAAATGACCAATGTTACCCGAGCGATTGATATATATAAGACATAAAGCATTTGGGTTACGGTATAAGTAAGGAGCATATTTATGTAAAATGGTGAGTGTTGTATTGTCATTGAAATGATGAGTGATACCTTAGTTGTTTGCGGTGTTGTTTTCTGTGTGGTAAGTACAGTGGTTGTCTTTGTAGTTGATGCTTCTGTTGTTGGACGTAGTGTCGTTTTAGTTGTTGTTGGAGATGTGTTTCTTATTGTAGAACGTTGCGATGTTTGGATTGTTGTGGGTGATGTAAAGGCAGTAAGTTTTGTTGTAGGTTCTGAAGTTGTTTTCTGTGTTGTATGTAGTGTTGTTGCAATTGTTGACTTAGTTGTTGTTACCCGTGGGGACGTTGAAATAGTTGTTTTCTATTTTTGGAAAATTGATATCGTTACGTAAAATTCTGGAAGGTAAGAAGGTGCTGTGGGCTTGTTTATGCAATTTTTATTTACTTTTTGTAAAGGCTATAGTAGGGGGACAATATATATTTTAATGAATGTATGGAATAATGCTACATGTGCTGTATAAGGAGATCTAAGTTTACCTCTGTTGTTGTTGCTGTAGTAGTTTTGGCGGTGGTGGTTTCTGTAGTAGTTTTTGCGGTGGTGCGCGCAGTCGTTGGTTCTTTGGTGGTTGTACGTGGGGTCGTTTCAAAGGTTGTTGCGGCTGATGTATATTCTGTTGTAGGTTCTGACGTTGGTTTCTGTGTTATTGGTAGCGTGGTTGTCATGCCAGAAGTACGCTCCGTTGTAGGTTTAAGCGTTGTTTTCTGCGTTGTTAGCATGGTTGTTTCAACTGTTGTAGGTAACGTGGTTGTTTTGCTGGTTGTACGCTCAGTTGTGGGTTCTTGTGTTGTTTTCTGCGTTGTTAATATTGTTGTTTGTACCGTGGTCTCAGCTGTAGTCGGTTTTGAAGTCAAAATGGTAGTTTCCTGTTGAAAAAAGGAACCGACAAATTTTATTGTCTCCATCTATGAATCTGTTGTAGCAGTGTACATTGCGATGTAAATCAATCATCAATCTACCTTAAGTGTTTACCACTAAGTGTTGTTGGTGCTATGCTTTGTAGTCTTTGAGTTGTAATCTCTGACGTCTGAGTAAGTAAGGTTGGAAGCAATGTCTTAGAAGACTTGTTACCATTGCCGGTTGTATGGAAGACGAAACCGTTTGCTTACTTAAAACAATGGAGTTAGATAGATTGACAATTGTGCCTACTTTATGTATGTATCGTGATACCAAAGAGTTATTTAAAATTGGGTTCAAGGGTGAGTACATGAAAAGCAATAGAGTTATGCCAAGGAATGAGCATATTCGCATCAAAAGGTGAGTGTTATCACTCAAATAATGAGTGATACCTCAGTTGTTTGTGGTGTTGTTTTCTGGGTGGTAAGTACAGTGGTTGTCTTTGTAGTTGATACTTCTGAAGTTGGACGTAACGTCGTTTTAGTTGTTGTTGGAGATGTAGTTCTTATCGAAGAACGTGCAGATGTTTGTATTGTTGTGGGAGATGTAGTTGTTTTGAAGGTAGTTAGTTTTGTTGTAGGTTCTGAAGTTGTTTTCTGCGTAGTAAGTAGCGTTGTAACCAGTGTTGTCTTAGGAGTTGTTGCCGGTGACGACGTTGAAACAGTTGTTTTCTATGTATATAAAACAATGTTGTTGCATTTAATTGCATGGTTTAATTTGTAGACAGGTAACGTTAAAGCTGTGAGAATAATAGTGTAATTAGATATAGATATGGGAATCGTAAAGTAAGTACACAATTGCATTTTCATTGTTGTAAGTCCGGAAACTTCCCTATACCTTTGTAGTTTCTATTGTAGTGTTTGTAGTTGTGTGTGCAGAAGTTGCTTTTACAGTCGAAATGCCCGTGGTTGTTCTTGAAGTTGCTTTAATTGTAGTCGGAGATGTTGTTTGAATTGTGGAATGTTTGGTTGGTTGTATTGTTGTGGGGATAGTGGTTGTTTTTCCTAGAGTGCGCTCTGTTGTAGTCTCTAAAGATGTTTTCTGTGTTGTGAGTGGTGTTGTTTGTATTGTTGTAACCGTTGTTTTCTGTATGAAAGTCGAAATTGTTTGTTACATTTAAGCAAAGATGTTACATACATTGACTTTTAGTGTCTACTTTATGTAACTAGCGTGATGCTGAAGAGTTATTTAAGCTTGGTTTAAAGGACGATTAGACGTAAAGGTTGTCAGGTATGCCAGGGAGCATATTTGTATTAAAATGTGAGTGTTGCGTTGTCACTAAATGGTGAGTGATACCTCAGTTGTTTCTGGTGATTTCTGGGTGCTAAGCACAGTGGTTGTCTTTGTAGTTGGTACTTCTGTGGTTGGACGTAGTGTCGTGTCAGTTGTTGTTGGGGATGCGGTTCGTGTCGTAGAGCGTTCTGATGTTTGCATTGTGGTGGGTGTTGTTGTTGTTTTGAAGGTTTTAAGTTTTGTCGTAAGTTCTGAAGTCGTTTTCTGTGTTGTATGTAATGTTGTTGCTATTGTTGACTTAGCTGTTGTTGCCGGTGTGGACGTTGAAATGGTTGTTTTCTATTTTTGTAAAAACAAGATGGTAATTTTGAATTGTTGGAGGTAAGCTTGCAAGCTGTTTTTAAAGATCAATCTGTTGTGAAGGCTCGAGTAGGGGGCCAACATATATTTCAATAAAAGTATCAAATACTACAATATGTGCTGTATATAAAGGGGATCGGATCTAAGTTTACCTCTGTTGTTGTTGCTGTAGTAGTTTTGGCGGTGGTGGTTTTTGTAGTAGTTTTGGCGGTGGTGCGTGCAGTCGTTGGCTCTTTGGTGGTTGTACGTGGGGTCGTTTCAAAGGTTGTTGCGGCTGATGTATATTCTGTTGTAGGTTCTGTCGTTGGTTTCTGTGTTATCGGTAGCGTGGTTGTCATGCCAGAAGTACGCTCCGTTGTAGGTTTAAGCGTTGTTTTCTGCGTTGTTAGCATGGTTGTTTCAACTGTTGTAGGTAACGTTGTTGTTTTGCTGGTTGTACGCTCAGTTGTAGGTTCTTGTGTTGTTTTCTGCGTTGTTAATATTGTTGTTTGTACCGTTGTCTCAGCTGTGGTCGGTTTTGAAGTCAAAATGGTAGTTTCCTGTTGAAAGAAGGAACCAACACATTTATTGTCGGCATGTATGAATCTGCTGTTATAATGTGCATTGCGATGTAATTGAGTTGAGGATATGTACTCTGTCATGGGTTTGTATGTCATCAGTAAGACATTCGTACTGTTCTGATGTCGTTCAATTATTTTACCTCCGTCGTTTGTGTCGTGGTTTTGGCAGTGGTGCTAGGAGTTGATGCCTCTCTCGTCGGTGTAACTGTAAATATGGTAGTTGTGTGTGACGTTGTTGCAGCGGTTGTTGTTGCTGTGGTTGTTTGACGTGTAGAATGTTCAGATGTTTTTACTGTTGTTGGTAACGTGGTGGTTTTGCCAGTAGTATGCTCAGTTGTAGGCTCTGATGTTGTTTTCTGTGCAGTTAACATTGTTGATCGCACTGTTGTCTCAGTTGTAGTCGGCCTTGAAGTCAAAATTGTAGTTTCCTGTTGAAAGAAGACATGCAACGTTTTATCGTCGCGATTCAAGAATCTGGTATGTAACATTGTTGATTTTGATGTCAAATAGGGCTATTGTTTATTACTCCGTGAAGGAGGTCAGGACCTCCGGACGGAGTGTTGTAATCGGCTGATTTTTCATGTTCGCAGTCAAAACACTGGGTTCTCTTTGTGTAATCGGCACGCAATTTTATACGCCGTCTGCGGGCATGCCCGTGTTGATGCACGAATGTGTATTTTTGCCGTTGCTGCTTTCGCGGTCAATGTAATATCGCAGACGCACCCCTACAATTACGAGGCGAATTGGAATGGTCCAGAAAAACGCGTTGTTTGGAATAGCAGTGGGGTTCAAAAAAGTTCATGCAGATACGGGGTGGTTTTTATAAGTGGTTCCAGATGTTTTTGCCCATGGTTAAGAGATGCCAAGTTTTTTGGAAGATGTTCGCAGCCAAAACGCATTCTTCCGTACGTCGCATTTCTGTGTAATTTCGCATGTGGTGTTGCATTATGTCCGGGATGATGCACCGTAATAAC